CTATCACAGGTATGCCTCTGCTCGTAAGAAAAAGAATTTTATTTCTAGTATTAAATGTGATGCTGGTGATTGGGTGGAGGAGGAGGATATGCATGTGCCTCTAATGGATTGGACTGTCATGATCCGTTATTTGGTGTCCTAACCCCACGAGTGACGATGGCGCAAAATATGATGCTAGACCGCCCTTTTGAAACTGACGAAGTAAAAGCGGCCCTTTTTTTAATGTATCCAGATAAGGCACCGGGCCCGGATGGATTAAACCCGGGTTTCTACCAGCAGTTTTGGGAGGTAGTGGGGGGGGGGGGGGGGGGGGGGGGGGATGTATCTGGTTTTATAGTGAATGCCTTGAATTCTTGTGTATTCCCCGAGGGTTTGAATGATACTAACATTGTTTTGACTCCTAAGAAAGAGATGCCTGAGACGGTTGCAGATTTAAGGCCGATTGCTTTGAGTAACGTCATTTATAGAGTTATGGCCAAGATGATAGCAAATAGGATGAAAACGCTCATGGGAGGACTGATCTCAGAATCCCAGAGTGCTTTTATTCCGGGAAGGCTTATCACTGATAACATCTTGGTGGCGGCTGAGGTGGGGCATTATCTAAATAGAAAACAATGTGGTGTAGTGGGTTGGAGTGCATTGAAACTGGATATATCAAAGGCCTATGACAGAATGGAGTGGACTTTTCTAGAAAGGATGCTGACCGTTATGGGATTTAGTGAGAAGTGGATAAAACTTATTATGTTGTGTGTAACGACTGTTAATTATACTATAATGGTCAATGGTATGGCAGGAGGGAGCGTGAAACCAACCAGGGTTCTCAGGCAGGGAGATCCTCTCTCTCCGTATTTATTTATTATTCGTGCAGAGGCTCTCTCGATGATATTGCAGTATGAGCAATTAGCAGGCTCTATACATGGGTGCAGAGTAGCTAGGGGGCACCACCTGTATCACATCTATTTTTTGCGGATGATAGTCTCCTATTTTTTAAAGCGAATATCCAGGAGGCTGGAGTTATAAGGCAATGCCTGGCAAGGTATGAGAAATTGTCAGGCCAGGTGGTGAATTATAATAAATCTAATATATGCTTTAGCAGGAATACCCAGGAGGGTGACAGGGCGCAGGTAGCGGATTATCTTGGGGTGGTGCAAACACCCAATTTTGGGAAATACTGTTTTCTCTTATGTGGAGGAGAAGATCAGACATCGGATTGGTTCGTGGAGTAAAAAGTTGCTTTCTCAGGCTGGTAAGGAAGTATTATTGAAAAGTGTAGCGCAATCTATGCCTACCTTCTCAATGAGTGTTTTTTTATTACCTGAGACAGTTTGTCAGTCAATTGAGCGAACTATGAATAAGTACTGGTGGGGGAATGGAAGAGAAAGGGGAATACATTGGAAGGCTTGGGACAGGTTGTGCGTCCCAAAAAAGTATGGTGGTATGGGTTTTACAGAGCTTAGGGCTTTTAATCTTGCTATGCTGGGAAAACAGGCATGGCGGTTTCTAACAGACCCAGGAACACTCGCAGCAAAAATTTATAAAGCAAGGTATTATCCCACAACCAGTTTTACTGATGCTACTATTGGTAATTGCCCAAGTTATTGTTGGAGAAGTATAATGGCAGCACATGCAATGGTGATCTCGGGGGTGCGAAGGAGAATTGGGAATGGACAGGCAACTTTAATATGGGGACATCCGTGGCTGCGAGATGATCCTAGCCCATTGATCCAAACAGAAATGCCAGAGCAGTTGAGAGAGGCACGGGTTGCAGGATTGATTGATTTGCAGACACATACATGGGATCCACATATTTTATCTGACCTGTTTATTCCTGAGGATGTGGAACGAATAAATATGATCCCTATTAGTCCTGATTACGAGGATTCATGGTATTGGATGGGTGACCCAAAGGGGACATATACTGTGAAAAATGTCTATAGGCGTATTGTGGGCGACCATGAGAATAACCCCGTGATGTTTGATAAATGGATTTCAATGTGGAAGTTAAAAGTCCCCCCTAAGTGGAAGACTTTCTTGTGGAGAGCCATATGTGATATTTTGCCAACAACCACTAACTTGATTATTAAAAGGGTGGAGGTGGACCCAATATGGCAATATGCCCAAAAGATGTGTTACATGTTTTAGTGCTCTGTGAATATTCTACACTTGTTTGGAATGTAACACAATTGCCTATCACTAATATTATTGCAGACTCTTTTACATCATGGCTAAAAGGGGCTTTGGCGGTCTTAACGGAGGAGCAAACTCGATTGATGATAGCGGTGTTATACTATATTTGGAGAACCCGAAACTCAGCTGTTTGGAAGGGATCTATGACGCGGCCTACCCAAGTTGGCAGGGCAGCAGCCGCAGCACTTCAGGCATACGGTGCTGCCCAGGATTACCGCACCCAACCGGATGCGGCGTCGGCGACATCAACCGAACCGGGAGGTGGCGGCCTGCGGTGTTACGTGGATGCGGGCTTCCGTCACGCCACGGGCGAGGCTACGTACGGCATATTACTAGTAGTGCCAGATGGCTCTTTTGTGGCAGCAAAAAATGGCAAGTTACCGGTTTGCTTCTCACCACTTATATGGCGTTTGGTTGGAGGGTGGGAATTATGTGGGAAAGGAATTGTAATTCCATGGGAGTTGAATTACTGGGAATAAAGTGGGAATTTAAATTCCAGTGTTTGGTTGACAGGAATTGAATTACAAGGAATTTCAATTCCAATGTTTGGTATACATGGGAATTGAAAGAGAATAAGTAGTATAAAGCCAAAAATGTCCATTATTGTTGTTGGACATTAATTTTAAGTTAAAAAAGGAATGAGTAATTTTGACTCATCACTATCTTTTTTCCCCAGGAATTAAAATCCCGGGGGGGGGGGGGGGGGGGGCATGGGATTTTAATTCCATGAAAATGGGGGAATTGCAATTCCATGGAATTGCAATTCCCTCCAACCAAACTACGGAATTTAATGGCCTTTGGAATTATGTGGGAATTAAGTGGGAAGGGAATTTAAAATCCCTCCAACCAAACGCCCTGTTATGGCGGAGGCGCAGGCGTACAAGGAAGCACTGTCTTGGCTACTTGAACGGGACAACACATCAGTAAGTTTACTCACGGATTGCATGGAGTTGACTACAGTTATCCGGCACCATCACACGCCGATTCGTTCATACGTTGGGGTCACGATTGACCAATGCAGAACTCTTATGTCTTTATTTGATCGTATTACTTTAAATTATGTCTCTAGACAGGTTAATTTACACGCGCATACTTTAACTTCGTTAGCATTTACACAGGATCAAGCTATGTACTGGGATTCTATCCCACCTGACGCTATTTCGGCTTTGATTCATTAATACAATCGCAAGATTGACCTTCAAAAAACTTTACATTCCTCATGAATATTGTGGCTAGTCATTTACATGTTATAGAGTATAAATTATTCATCTTCTACCGTACCACTTTGTTTTCTTATAAGGAACAAGAAGTAAGAATAAGAGTGTTGATAGAAGGAGAGAAAATTTATATCCATTGGTCTTATAAGTAAGGCTGCTAAGAACCTGTCTAGTCAAAAGGAACAAGTCAATCACTTGTATAGAAAGTTTTCATCAATAACCACGTCATTTAAACAAGTTAAAGAATGTCAGGTATTTTAGTGTTAAACAATTTTCTACATAATATATTATTTTTTTAGCATAATATCGTAAAGGTTATAATTCTCCTATAAAAATTACATTGTAGCCAACTAATCGATCTAGAACCAATTTCATAAGGCAACCAACAAATTATTTTACCGAAGTGAACTCTTGCCAAGATAACATCGTCAATCAAACGATGTTAGACCACGTCTACTAGCTGAGTTTGAAAACCAGGCAACTTAATTGGTAATTGGTAGAACGTAACTCAACTTACATAGAAAATATTCAACTATATATCTTAGCTCGTAAAATCAACATACATTAGTACAAATCAGTTAAATCATGAAAATAGAGATATGACTATGTTATATATAGATAAAAGGGATACTTATTTAGTTGCAAAATTGTAATAATTGAGAGAAAAAGGTAGGACTTTAGTAGTCTTTTATAACCTACAATAGGTCCCAAAGTCATATGATTTTTTTATTTTAAAACAAAAACTTTAAGCATCTCTGGTAGGCAACAACAAATGTCCTAAAGTGGTTAAATTTATTTTTATTTTTAAACCTACCCTAAATAATGACTTTAGGCATTTGTTGTATGGAAAACAGATGCATAAAGTTTTTTATTATTATTATTATTATTTTAAAAATAAGATGGACCCAAATGCTCTTTCTTCACGCTCTATCTCTAAACCCTTTCTTTCCTCTTCCCTCATACTAGATTTAGACACTCTTCTCCTTCATGTTCTCTCTCTAAACCCAAAAAATGTTTAGGCATCAACAAAGTTGACCCAACCTGTCCCTTTCTTCACAATCACTATCATCTTCCACGACTCAGCCCTCCTCACCACCTCTCTCTCACCTCCGCCTCTAAGTCTCACCGCATTCTTGATATGAAAATTTATGTCAAAATAATTATTGTCATGATAATTTCCATATCGTTTATTATCCAAAGTAATTATATCCAAATTTTAAAATACCTCTATCAGTATCATTTGATCATCAGTGCACATTTTTGTAGAATTACTTATTGAGAAATACGTTTAAATTAGAGTTGTGCAAGACTAGATGCTTCTTGTTTGGTGTAATTAACTATTATTATTTCTTTCACATATAAGAATCTCTGTTTTCCTTGAGCAAGTATATATATATATGTTACAAACAACATCAATACATCATTAACTTTTATTTATAACCGACTCCGTATAATAATATACAAAATATGGATCAAACAATTTGAGCCCTAAATATAGTGAAGAGTACAAATTAAACTAAATAAAATCTTAAACCATAAAAAACAATTTATACATAAATATAATTTGTACTTTTTATTGGACACTAAATACACTTTTTGAAATTAAGAAAATGCCAAGGTTAATGTATAGTAGAAGAATTTGCTTCCGTTGGTGTGGAAGAATACAAGTAAGGTTTTGGAGGAATTGGCAAAAGGTCTGCACTGTTTTCCAACATTTCTAACACCATACTTATTGATGGCCTGATTGAAGGATCAAAATGAATGCACCACAAACCCACCATAACCATCTTTCTTGCATATTCCTTATCTAATTCATTCATAATTCCTTTCAATCCTAACTCTTTATCAAGTTCGATCTGGCGATAAATCCAATGCGGAAAATAAATTTCACTATTGCGATCCACATCATGCTCAACATTCTTTCTACCACTAACAATCTCTAGTACCATCATCCCATAACTATACACATCAGCCTTATGAGAAACCGCTCCAAAGTTTCTGCACGCAACTTCTGGTGCAACGTATCCAATTGTTCCCCGTGCACCAGTTATTGACACAAAACTCTCCTTTGTTGTGTGTAGTTTTGCAAGACCGAAGTCTGAGATTTTTGGACAAAAGTCTTCATCTAGAAGAATATTATGTGGCTTTATATCAAAGTGTAAAATTTTCGTCCTACATCCACGGTGTAGGTATTCTAGTCCCTTAGCAATGCCAATAGTGATTTTATACAATGTTAACCACTCTAATTGACGATCCATCTTCAATTTTCCATCATAAATGAAGTTTTCGAGTGATCCATTAGGCATGAATTCATAAAGCAAAGCTCTTTTGTCGCCCTCAACACAGAATCCTAACAATGTTACAATATTAACATGAGAAGTTCTGCTAATGCTTGCTACTTCATTTATGAACTCTTCCCCACTACCTTTTAATTCCTTTAGTAACTTGACTGCAACAAAATCTCCATTAGCCAGCTCTCCCTTGTAGACAAAACCATAGCCTCCTTGACCCAGCTTATCTCGAAATGAATTAGTAATTCTTTTGACTTCTAAATAGGTATACCTTTTTGGAGAGAATGATCCATTGTTTCTAAGAAAGACTTCAATATTTCGTTCATTTTCAGTTTTCAGAAAATTCATGGATATTTGGTATAAGAAATTCCTCCAAAGACACAGAAGTGTAGTCATTAACATTGTAACCCCAACAACGGAAGTAACTGCAATTATTGGCAAAACTTTGAATTATTTAATTACTCCTTTTAAGAGTATACCCAAAACTATTTCATAATTTTAAAATTAATTGTTACCTATCGATTCATCGAAAATGATCTCTTAATTATTTTATTTTTATGTAACTTACACTGATGACTAAATTGAGTAAATCTTTACATAGTCAATAGGTCATTTTTGGTGAATTATTAGTTGAGGACCAATTTGAGAATTATAACATATTTGAAGGACTATTTTTGGTATTTTTACTATTTTTAATTAACAAATCACTTCTTAATTGATAGTTTTAAGAGTTAATTACTTTTTTGGTCCCTCAATTGTTTCTCAATTATTAATGTAGTCCCTACTTTTTAATTTCAACCAATTTGATCCTCTTTTTTTTTTTGAATGCTACTAGCTCTATTACATTGTAGTATCTGTTCATATACTTTCTCAACCTATTGAAACACAAAGAGCCAATAACACCTCCACTGAGGCTCGAACTCACAATCTTCCAAGTGGAAGTCCAACCCGGATACCATTGGACCACATAGTCCTGGTAACCAATTTGATCCTCTAATCGTTTAAAATTTCATTAATTAAACCTATTCAAGGATCAAAATGGTGATTTTCGCATTTTTAAAATTTCATCCATTTGGTCTTTAAAATCATTTAATTAACAACATTTTAAATAATTCGATGATCAAATTGGCTGAATTGAAAACTAAAGAATACATTGACAGTTAGGAAACAATTTGGGCACCAAAATGTTGATTTCCCCAAGTTTTAACTTTTCACTTGATTTCTTTTGTATTAACACATAAAATCTATGTATATATATCAAAAAATAGATTAAAGATATGTACCTGTAATGATCAGAAAGAGCTTGTACGGCTTTTTTTTCCCTGCATCTGAAGTAGACAAGGCAAAGATTAAATTCCATACATAACTTTCACAACCTCAACAAGAATTTCATGTAAAGGCTAGTTTAATTTCTATCTATACCTGCTAAACATTGAAAATTGTTATGGGTGTCAGTTAAGCATTGCCCCTCATTATAATGACACTCTGTACAAACTTCAGACACCTTCCATTGTAGGTAAAGCATTGAAGAATTTAATCTCTCAAACAAGTCCATGGCTCTGGATGATCTGTCAAACGGCAAGTAAATAACTGAACACTCTGCAGGTAGACTGCCAACTAGTTGAGTATCATTCTCCACCTGGGTATAGTACAAGCTGAAGTTTTGGCAGCTGTTATAGCTTTTGTATCCAAGGAAATAATGGTCAATCTTCTGTTGTAAGCTAACATTTGATGAACTGCGATTGCATTTGTAAACTTCCATGGCAAACAGGAACTCAAAGGAGATGGAAGGAGAGCTGGGAAATGAGATTCCTGTGTGGAAAACGTTGCAAATTCGTTTCCCAAGAAGTGGGTCAAAAAGCTTCATGAAATCATCCCCAATGAATCGAACTCCATATTGGTTTTGTCCCAAGGTGATTGTTGGATATGGAGTAGCGTTACAATCTAAGGTGTACAGCCCACATTCAGGTCTCGAAACATTGGAGAAAGGAAAACTCAGGTTGCCGAGGTTTCCGCAGGTGAATTGTTTGGGGCAGCTAGACTGGCGGCTACTGCTTTCCCCTTGAGCTAACTGAAGAATGATAACTAATTGAAACAAATGGAAGCAAACAGCAAATAGATGTGAAGGCATACTAAACTCTGACATAGCAAAATGGAGTAGGAAAAACTTGAAAACCTTGTAGACAGGGTTGTAGTTTGGTGTTATCAGTGGCCTAGCTGAATTCTTTCACTATAAACTAGGTTCTCTGATGATAAGAGTACATAGAGGTAATCCTACTCACCTTCCATGTGGACCAGCAAAGAGAAAGAATTTGGCCCCTTTCTTCACGCACTACATACATTTGTTGCTAATGCATGCCTTCTCTTAGGGGGGAAAATAAACGTATTGACTGCGTCTTCCACTAGTAGCCTGAAAAGTCTTCACTCGTGCGGGCCAGCACCTGTGCGGGCATGAATGTTATTCATAAAACAATTCGGGTATTACTAAGAATCAAAGTTTTAATCTTTGTACGTGTTGGTTTTATAATTTTTGGATAGTCAATCGTTGACCAACACAACTTTTAAGGAATGTATGGAAAAAATATAGGAAATATGGAGAGAATTTAAAAAATAATAGAATAAATATTATATTGTTGAATATTGCTTGTGAGTAGTAAAGATTGTTTTATCCTCTCCACATGTAATCGTTATGCTATGGATCCGTGTCCATCATGCAATGTGGACACGGTAAAGGTGCCGTTAGTGGCACCGTTATTTTTCACCATTTTTTAAAAAAATTTCAGACCGCTTTGTTATAGGAGCATATGTTCATAATTTTATTACTATATGTTCATAATTGTAAGTTCATAATGTCAGAGCTCTGTGTTCATAATTCCATAACTGTACATTCATAATTGCATAACTGTACATTCATACTTCCATAACTGTACATTCATAATTCCGTAACTGTACATTCATAATTCAATAACTGTAAATTCATAATTTTCGAAGCTCTATATGTTCACAATTTTAGGGCTCTATGTTCATAATTTTATCAGTATATGTTCCTAATTGTAAGTTCATAATGTCAGAGATCTGTGTTCATAATTCCATAACTTACATTCATAATTCCATAACTGTACATTCATAATTTCATAACTGTACATTCATAATTCCATAACTGTACATTCATAATTCCATAACTGTACATTCATAATTCCACAAACGAATAACGCTGTTAACGTAGAGACAAAATCAATTTTTTTTTAACTGGAATACTGCGTTTTCCCTGAAAACGACGTCATTTTGGACTCGTGTCCACAATGCATTGTGGACACGAGTCCACAGCATAATTTGCGCTCCACATGTATGGGATCTATTTATTCATATTTTGGGCTAGACGATGTACAAGGAACAGAAATGCTAGACTACCTCATGTTGGGAGTTCTTGTTACATTATAAATAATAAGTCGAATAATTATTACATTACAAATACTTAGCTCAATCTTTACTAGACTCCTAAGTTACTCTGTACTGGGTATCCTCTTTGGGCTTCCTTGATCCAATTATTTTATTGGGCAGATTCATGTGGCCCAAGCCCTTTTGGTTAACTAGTCCGACCGGTCAGTCGAGTATACTGCCCATCATCCAGTCCACCACTTTCTTGAGATTTTGCGAAGTTGATGTCTCAGAAAAGTATCTCAAAATTATTCTCCGACCAGTCACTACCGCTTCTAAAAGTCGATGTCTAGTTCACCGCTTCTAAAAGTCAAGTCTTCTTTCGACCGGTTACTCCTCATCCAACGCATCACTGAATGGGTGTGACTATTCAGGTGGTGGTCTTTTTGGACGCAACTGTTAAACTGAGTGGTTCCCAGTGAGCCCCCTAAGTCGGTGCTGAGCATATGGGGCATAGATTACGCTAGTTGTCTCGTTAAAATCCTTAGACTAAGAAAAACCCAATGAAAATAAACTTAGCTAAGGGAAAAATAGTACAACCATAAGTGGAATATTTAGCTAGTGCGAGAATTCCAACCTCCTCCATAGGAAATATGACAACCTCACTAAGACTCAAGGCCGGCCGTTGAGGTTGTAGGGCGACTATTGAGCACTTTTATCATCCTATAAAACTCAAAAGCTAGTTAAGTTAAAAGAAAGCACACGAGGTGCGTACTTCCCTATGAGCTCTAATCTTCGGCACTTGGAAACAATAGACGTAGATTGTGAGCCCTCTGATCGACCACCTAACATTTCAACATCCTGCAAAATTTAAGACACCAATTGGGTGAAAAGCATCTTCACGAGATGCGCCCCACTAAGTGGGTATGGTCTGAACCAGTTAGTTTGTCTATCCTAAGTTAGTTAATGACTCCTAGTAAAAATAGTAAAATTAGTAAAAATCAGCAACTTGCTTCATATGCTCTAACCTGCAAGAATTTAAAGAAAAATAGTAAAAATATGTCAACCGCCTCACTTTCGAAGTGTGAGTAGTCGGCTCTCGACCCTATCATACGCCAAGTAATTATTTTGGGTGGCATGGTCGCCGACACGCAAACCAGGATACCCACATAGGGTCTCGCTCAAGTGCAAACCTGCGAACTTCTTCAGTAATGCAAGGTACGTTACATGGCTAATAAGAGTGAAGTTTTTGAAACTCAATTGAGGTGTATAACTGAAAATCAAACCAGGCTTAGTGGTAATCAGCAAATGATTAAGGTTGATATTAAGCAAAACCCTAGAGTTTTCGATATATTAGATAATATTACGGAGGGGTTGTTCAAGTTGTATGAGATGGTATATGCTTTGGATGATTCCAAAATGGGGGAAGGAGTAGGTACCCCTCGTGGTGTAATTTCTTTGTCTACCTAAGTTCTTCAAGGGTCTTTGCGTCGTATTCTACAAGAGATAGGACAACATCTACTGGCAGAGGCAATGGAAGAAGTTATGGAGGGATTGGAAGAAGTTCTAAGCTTAAGTATGAGAAAGGGCTTAAATTGTATTACGGATGCAAGGATGGCAAATGGGTGCATCCAAAAAGGTATGTAATGTATCGCCAACCCTAGTCAAAGAATTTGACATATATGAAAAAGCAAAGGCTCATAGAAGATACCAACTTTATGCTTTCAAATCAACACAAAAGGGAGAAGGAGGCTGAAAAAAAGAAAGCAATTAAGCAAGAGGCTAAGAAGAAGGAAGAATGTGTCCTTAAAAACCTAGCTACTGGTTGCATTCAAAATTTGACATAGATCAGTAGTTTGGCAAGCTCTTGTTCAACTTGATCAAAGACCAGAATAATGCCTTCGTTGATGGCAAAAAACCTGGAGTATCACATGGTGGAAGATGGGGGTTCTAGATGGTTAAGATTTTTTTGAAGCATTTGAAAGTCTAAACAATGATGTAACCTAGCCCTTCAAAAGATTAGCTCATGATATAGCACTCAAGGGACAAGGTCATACATCAATGAAGAATTGGACAGCATAAGCGAAGAAGAAAGGAAAGCTAAGGAGAAAAGGTAAAATCTTGTATATAGCGTTGATTTTTCCCCATATCTTTTAAAATCTTTAGACCTAGAAACTTTTCATTGTCACATGTGCATAGTCATACTAAAGGGCGAAATATACCCCTTGAAAAAATTTTTTTTATCATATATTAGTTCAATCCACAAGGTAGACTAACCAAATACTCTGATTTGAAAAGTTAAAGAAACTAAATGGTATTAAGATTTGAATACTTGAAGAATAGGAGATGAAGAGTTGAAGACGAGGAAGATGCAAAGGTTGACCAATGGAAGGGTTGTATGGTTGAAATAATAGAATGGTTTAATAATTCCATAGCATAAGGCTCTTGGAAAATAATATCAACCTAATGGTTGATAACGACCAAATGGTAAAACGGTTGACTATTAATCATACACCCGTATGATAACGGTTGTCCAAATAGTGCTATGAGATCGGGGAGTAGTCTCAAGTGAAAGATTTGCATAGTTCAACATCCTAGAAGTGACTTATTCACTATCCGGATAGTCGAGCTACAATTCGTACAATCACAATGTCGATGAAGTGATTGAGGATATTCCATACGTACAGTGCATAAAGAGAATCTTACCAAGGTTTCAACAATTGCCTAGATACAGAGACAAAAAGCTAGCCAAAAGGTCACGTTTTAAAGAGTTAAAGTTAGGCAACAATTGAAAAATCTAACATGCACATGCTAACATGTAAAAACCATTGGTTATTATGCAATATACAAAGACTACCTATTTGAATTTTTTTCCTTTCAATTGACAAATTCAAACAAGTCTATTATAAATACCCCATTTCAAGTTGAAAAAGGTGTTAGTCATTTCCTAAGAAGTAGCATATGTTAGAGGAATAGGGTGTTAGTTGGGAGGATCTCTCTTAGCCTTAGGTTTAGGTGTTTGAAATCTATGGCTAGGATTAGCTCTTGTCTTATATAAATAGCTCTATACTTCCTTGTACATCTACACAGAACATATAGAAATATATACAAGTTGAGTTCATTGTTTAACATGGTACCAAAGCGAGATTGAGGTGATTGTGTAGTGGGATCTGAACGGAAAGAGGAGGCGGCGCCGTCGGGAGGAGCGGAGCAGCTACCGGAGTTCTCAGCGCCAACGCAGTCCTAGGATTCCGACGCCACGCGCCGACGCGTGCGCACTGGTCCGGTGTCTTCTCCGGTCGCGGCTTACATTGTTCGGCTCGTCTCTGTACGCCCGACACATCTGCAGTGGTGGTGTAGCCCGGTGTTGAGGAGATATTTTTATGGTTGCGATGACTTCGTCTCCTGCTGCGTAAGTGGTGCGAAAATTCCAACTGGGAAAATTGAAGATTGTTGCTGGTCGCGAGAGAGAAAAATCGCTAGAAAGAGAGAGAGAGAAAGAAAGAGAGAGAGAGAGAGGTAGGGGGTTTGTGAAAAAATGGCTGAGGAGAGTGAATAGAGGATGAAGGGCTACGTCACGTGGTTCAGTGACCAGAAGGGGTTTGGGTTCAATTCATAACCCCCAACGACGGCAGCAAGGATCTGTTTGTTCAAGAGAGGCAGTCGAGAGAGATGGTAAGGGAGGTCCACGAAGCTGGGTGGTCTCATGGCTACAAAATAAAATTATGTGGTTAGGTTTGGGCTGCTGACGAGGAATAATTAAGTAGTAGGTTCTTTTGTTTATCGTATTAATAAGTCTTGAGCTTTGTGTTTTGTTTATCATAGTTTGTCGCTTTAAGTTAATTTAGTATGGGAGAAATTCTAGGGTCTGAGTTGAGTCAAGTGTAGCTTGTTCAGTGTGCGTAAACAGGGTTGCTGCAGGAGTGGGCAGCACAGGTGCCAAGAATGGGGCGGACCTGGCATATGCCGGGGGGAGGCCGACGGCTGAAAAATGATTCAGAGTGAATTGGTTTACGTGCATGCACTGGGGAAACGCTGTGGTGTTAGGCAGCGTTGATAAGGGTGCATGGTGAGAGGGATAGGTGCACTGTGGTCTAGCAGCGCTAATGGTTTGTGGAGTGAGAGGCAGGTACGCTGTGGTGTTAAGCAACAGTGATAAGGGTGTGGGGTGTGAGAGGCAGGTGCGGCAAGGTGCGTTGTGGACTGGTTTGGCACAGCGTGGCTCGAAGGTTGTTCGAGTGGTTCAAGACTTGGGCGTTAGCCTTGGGAGTTATGATTCTAGGTGTGGAGTCCTATGGTTCATATGATACATATGTAACAAGTTGGATGCTCCAACTTGAGGGGGAGTGTTAGAGGAATAGGATGTTAGTTGAGAGGATCTCTCTTAGCCTTAGGTTTAGGTGTTTGAAATCTATGGCTAGGATTAGCTCTTGTCTTATATAAATAGCTCTATACTTCCTTGTACATCTACACAGAACATATAGAAATATATACAAGTTGAGTTCATTGTTTAACAGTATACAAGAGAATTCAAGTTTTCAAAGTGCAATCTAATAGATCAATGAGAGATAAAAGTTAAAGCTTTCAAACCATTATCAAGAACATGACTCATGTATAGATTCAAGAGCAACATCAAATCAAGTGATCCAAGTTAGAGAAGAGCAACAATTTTGGTGTTCAAACAACAATCATTAAGTAGAGGAGTAGATAGATGAAGAGTAGCAAGTTTAGGACTTGTGAAAACCTATTGATACTTTTTTTTTTTGAAAGGAAAACGATTTCATTAACCAGTAGAAATTAAATATTCAATACAAAGAGGAATAGAAGAAATCCAAGTAGAATGACCAGACTGGGAACTTGCAGCTCTAACTAACGCATGAGCAAGCTTATTCGTTGATCGATTGACATACTGAATAGACACTACTTCAAAGTGTCGTTTAAAACCTATTGAGACTTGTTTTCTTTGTGATCAAAGCACAAGTTCTCTCCACTTGAATTATGGTGAAAATACTTGTGAAACCTCCTAAGTGTTCTAGGAGAAAAATAGAGTAGGCAGTTAGCAGAACCACTATAAAAATTTTTATCTCTCATTTATTTTACTATAATTACTTTCTACACGTACATTATTACATTACGAATTGCTAATAATTTCTAACAAGACAGTGTGCCCAAAACATTAAAAAGGGTTAACAAATTATATTCCATTGTGTATTCATTAAGATGTTTTTGACTCAGTAATTAAGATTTTAACGTCACTCTTGAGTAGTGTCAAAGTCTTACTTTTTCAAGACATTCTATTTCGAAAAGATTTTTAAAACACAAGTCTACATATTCTCTCCTCCTCCTCATCCCCTTCCCTAGACATGTTCAAAAACCCTTCGGGTTCATTAGGGCAGGAGAAAGGCACAAAATTGTAGGGTACAGTAGGCTGCATGTGAATTCAGGTCAGAAAATGCAACTAGTATATAAATAGGTCTTGAGAAGGGCTAAAAGGGGACTTTGGCTTTTGGTATTAGCATAACCCCTCTCTTGCCCACTAGACTGTCTAGGACGGCAAATTATTGTGTGGACCATGGTACACACAGTGTTATGTGGACTATAACAAAAAGTACATTTTTAATATACTAAATGTACATTATTTTTGTACTGAATGTATATTATACAATATAATGTACACCTAGTACAAAAATAATGTACATCCCCTGAATACAATATACATTATTTTTGTAGTAAATATACATTATTTTTGTACTGAATATACATTATTTTACAGTATACAAAATATGATCCACACAACTTGTGTGGGCCATGATCCACACAATAATGATTGAGCTAGGACTCCCATCAAGAACCCCCTCCAAGGAATTCATTCTACATTTCCATGGTAACTCTCTAGGTTAACTTTGTAATCTTTTACCATCAGGCCCACCATCGATCTCTTAATTTCAATTAGTTCCCATGCATCTATATATTACAATATTGTTGTTATTAGTACTCTGTATTCTAGGCATACTTAGAATTCATCTCCCTCTTCATATAGTATTAGGAATATTACCATTTATACCATTCATATCCTGATCGAAACTCTTTGTATCCTTATAAATACATCTTTTCATCATGTACTTTATATCATCATGTATTAATAATAAGATCATTCCCACAACTATTGTTCTCATCATTGTAACCACGGATATAATACCCAAGAATAACCAATATAATGAAACATTACCTTGTCAAAATACCTATACAAAATGTATTAAAGATAAAAGTATCTCAAAAAACTAGCAATTGATGGAGTTATATTGCAACAATAGGCTTATACTAGAAAATCTCGCAAATTATATCATGGACGAAACCTTATCATGTGTATTGTGGACACTAGTTCAAAACAAAGTTATTTTGTTTAAATTAAAACAATATTAGAATATGTATATAAATTTACATATTTAAGTACATAATATGCTAACTATAAATGTATCATGTAAATAATATATAAATGATAGGTAAATAAACTTAAAACTAAAAGTTCGTAAAATTGAGTCGTTGATATGTAAATCATAAATTGCAGGATTTATGAACAAGTCACAACAAGTTAAATCTGACAACCATCAATAAAATCAATGATTCCCAACAAGTATTGGTTCAGAAAGCCAGAATACTGCAATCCAAACAAGCTAAGAAATTCAGCAACGGTCCATATTCACGATCACCTAAACCCTTTTAAAAATAACTTTTAAAAAAAAACATATTAAACATAAAAGTGAAAGGCATAAAATTTTGAACAAATAAAAGCATAATGTGATATGTGTGCAATCTCTCACAAACCAAGTCTCATGGATTGTGCACTTTCTTGTAACTCATTGATAAAGATATCTAATACTGGAACTAGGGAGCTGAAATGATGAGATTGTGGAATGATCAAATCAGATTACTAACAGAATACAGATTACAATTAATACAGTAAGAGAGAGACCTAACTAATAGGCTTAAGACTAGATCAATATTCTAGACTATAAAATGTATACAGTAACATACATAATAAATCATAAATAATAACATATACTAATATTCCCCCTCAAGCGCAAGGTTGGTGAAGCACAACATTGAGCTTGTCACGAAGAGTTCCGAAGCGCGTTGCGGGTATCGGTTTGGTGAAGATGTTTGCGAGCTGATCCTTGGTCGAAACAAAATGAACCTGGAACTCACCGGTCGAGACCTTGTCCCGAACAAAATGATAGTCAACTTCCACATGTTTGGTGCGTGCATGAAAAACTGGGTTCGCACAGAGGTATGTGGCACCTAGGTTGTCACACCATAGTGTGGGCGCAACAGTGGGAGTCATGCCCAGCTCCCGTAGTAAAGACATGACCCAAGTCACCTCCGCACAAACATCTACCAGGCCCTTGTATTCAGCCTCTGTCGAAGAGCGTGCTACTGTGCGCTGCTTGCGGGAAACCCAGGAGATGAGCTTGGAGCCAAAAAACACAACATAGCCACTGGTGAACTTCCGGTCGAGGGGACAGCCAGCCCAATCGGAATCAGAGTAGGCGTAAATGTCTGAGGACGCAGATGAGGAGATACGGAGTCCGTATTCCAGCGTCCCCTTGATGTAGCGGAGAACACGCTTAAGCAGCCCCCAGTGTTCCTCTGTGGGGGTATGCATAAACTAACAAAGGCGGTTGACAACATAGGACAGGTCCGGACGATGATAGTGAGGTACTGTAGCGCCCCGGCTAGCCGTCGGAACTGAGTGACAGACGTAGGAGTGGCGAGTGGTTTGCAATCTGTCATCCCCGCACGCTGAAGGATGTCTCGCATATAGCGTCTTTGTGAGAGAAAGTCGAAAAAGGAGGGGAGAGGATTTCTACCGACTAACTGATACCAGATGAGATTGTGGAATGATCAAATCAGATTACTAATAGAATACAGATTACAATTAATACAGTAAGAGAGAGACCTAACTAATAGGCCTAAGACTAGATTAATATTCTAGACTATAAAATGTACACAGTAACATACATAATAAATCATAAATAATAACATATACTAATAGAAATAAGAAATTGAATAAAAACATTTTTAAGGAATAGCGTGATAAATGCAAAATAGTTTAAGGCGATTAGCTCCCCTTAAACTTGTTCTGAAAAATCTACTTATACCGATTGATTAGTCTAGTGTGAAGTCCAAACCCCCTACTTGCTATACCAATTATGATAAATACTAGAGGCTATAATAATTAATTATTTATAAAGTGCCACACAGACAGCTATGAGAGTGTGACACTTTAGTTTTCTATACCCAAAAAAAAATAATAATAAAATAAAAATAATAAAAAAAAATTTAACATTTTAGAATGAAGATGCCAAATAATGCAAAGTAGGCTTCCATAGCTTTCACTTTCAACCCCCTTGATGAGATGGAATCATGGTAAGGGATATGGTAGCAGATTTGTGGAGGTTTTTTTTCTTTCTTTCTTTAACAACGTGTGGTGTTGCTCTTATTCTCTTAATATACCCAATTGGACCCATAATCTAGTCCCTCAACTGCCCACATTCTTATGCCTTGGTGGGCCCTCACTATTGGGCCTTAAATGTCCAATAATTGTTCCATATATTGATTAAAAATAATACAAATTCTCCTTTAGGCCAGGCTAGAGGGGGAGGAGCGTTATGCTGTGCAATCGTGTGCACCATGCAAGGTGCACACGGAATTGGATTCATAATTTATATAATATAGATTCATAATTTCTATATTGCAGATTCATAATTTTTAAACTGTAGATTCATAATTTCTAAATTGTATAGTTATCAAATTATGAACATATAGTTCAGTGATTTGTGAATACAGAGTTCAACAATTGAGAATATGAACATTAAAAATTATGAACATAAAGTTTCGTAATTGTGAATATAGAGTTCAATAATTATAAATCTATAGTATAGAAATTATGAATTCAATTTTGTATGCACCATACATGGTGCACACGGTTACACAGCATAATTTGCCAGAAGGATGATCAAATGCATAATTTTGTTTTGTATGCAGGAATGTGGCTTTCTTTGCATGTTTTTTTCTCTCTCTCTCTCTCTCTTTTCTTTTTAATTATAAAACGCAAATTGTCTTTGCAAATAAAAAATAAAAAATAAAACGCAAATTGTGAATCATGATCCAAAACGTCATTGTTTTCACATTTTATATTAAGTGTGAACTAGCATATCATGTTTAATAATATTATCATATACGTACTATGTTCATAATATTTGTTTTATAAATATACATTATATGTATTTTTATTCACTCAAAAGTAGGTTCATGAAGTTTCTTATATATATATATATTCATAAAAACAAAGTTTAATGTACATAAACATTACATTGCAGACGTAACATGTTTAATAATATTATTATATATTATACTCATGGTTGCTGTAGGCGCTACTCAGGCGGTAGAGTAGCGCCTAGCACCTAGACGGTCTAGGCGGTTAACTGAAGAAAAAACTATATATATATATATATATATATATATATATATATATATAGGCTTTGGATCTGGTGCACCCCTCTAATAGATGAGTTCATGAGGCCTAATAATACCCATTGATTGAATTCCCATCTATGGTTGAGATTAAAAGAAATAATGTCCATTATTATCTATGGTAAGGTTAAATTAGTAATTGTAAGGCTGATTTAATTAAGGACTTAAATTAAATGGAATATGAATCATCTTTTGCTGCTTTTGAGGATGGAAATTAAAAGATTCTATTAATAAAAAGATTAGAGGACATAATTAGCGTTAACAATGGGAGATGTGTGATGACGTCGCTGATGATAGTAGGAGCAACAATTTAGGACTTTCAGCAAATGGATATTAGCAGTAACGGTAAGTGCATATTCACCTCTAAGTCTGTGCGCTACCATGGTTTTTCCCGAAATGGTTGAGGTGTGAAACGGGTTTGGGGGTGGTCGATAGCAGGCGTTCACAAATCGTGTGCGTACGGGTACACCTGCCTGTGCGTACACCGTACTACGTTGTAGTGAAGGTAGTCTGTGTCTGTGTTGTTTTTGTTTTGCGTTGTACCGGTCAGTGCATATATACTTTTGTGTCCGTGCATATTCGGTGGTTTTTTTTTCGTCCTTGCATACTTCGTGTCTGTGCATATGCTGGTTTCTGTATAATGCTTATAAAATATACGCCGTACTACCTAACAAACAACCTACACTGTGGTCGTGTTTTTGTTTTTTTTTTTTATTTATTTATTTTTTTTGGTTTGTACCAGTAAGTGCATGAACGGTTCGTGTCTGTGCATATGCTGGTTTTCGTAGCATGCTGGTAAAATGTACGCCGTACTACCTAATAAACAAAATAGACTGTGACCGTGTTTTGTGGTTTTTTTTTTTTTTTTGGTTTGGACCATTAAGTGCATGAACACTTCGTGTCTGTGCATATGCTGGTTTTTGTATAATGCTTATCTACTGCATATTTCATCTAATAAACCCATGCTATTGCATATACCTCGTATTGCACGGACTATAGAGTAAAATGCATACAAAATGCACAACACATGATGTATACCCTAGGTGCATGTTACAGCTACAAAATACATAATATACATACTAAATATGCAACGCAAAGACCAACACCTCAAAAAGCACACACACTATATATACAGGCACATACCATACCCTACAGTCCCAAAAATAAACCTCCATGTGCATGTTATAACAATATAACCCTTAATGCACAAACTACATATATCTACTATACTAATAAGAGCCCAAGAGAGTTAGGCTTATAATGGTTAGAAAAAATGGCGGTCACATTTTTTTAATAAAATGAATGGCTCAGATTGTTCAGATTTTAATTTTTTCATCAGATTTCCTAATTTATCCTTAATGAATATGATTATCCGTTAGCTTTTCCGTTAAATATTATCTTTTCCGTTAATTTTATGTTAGTTCACCGTTAACTTACTCATTGATTTCAATAAGAAAGGTCTTAGGTTCGAACTTCATCCCAATCAAAATTTGCATAATTAGTACTCTATTTTACTCAATTAAATAATAATTTAGTAGCTACAACAAAAAATAATACATATGCATTTCTTTAATTTAGAATTATGTGTCTACAATGTTTTTATTCAAAAAAAAAAATTATTCATTATCAATAAATTAAATAAGAGAAATAATTTCATTAGCTATATTGTATTTATTTTCTCCAATATAAAAATTCTTTACATTCAAATTCATCAATTGATTATATTCGCTACATTGTCCCTACAATGTCTTTATTAAAAAATAGTATTCATTATCAATAAATTAATTAAGAGAAATAATTTTATTAGTCTCCAATGTAAAAACTCTTTATACTCAAATTCATCAATTGATTATATTCACTACATTGTCTATTTTTTTTGTGCACTGTTTTTTAATTACGTATCAAAGTTATAATACAAAATAATGCTATATATTTATTTGCCAAGTATTTTATTAATACCATGAAAAAATTAAAAATATATATAATTAATTAAGTCAATCAACTTCTACTATATATCTACTATCTACTATACTAATAAGAGCCCAAGAGAGTTAGGCCTATAATGGGTAAAAAAAATGGCGGTCAAATTTTTTAATCAAATGAATGGCTCAGATTGATCAGATTTTAATTTTTCCTGAAGATTTCCTAATTTATCCTTAATGAATGTGATTTTCCGTTAACTTTTCCGTTAAATATTATCTTTTCCGTTAATTTCTGTTAGTTCACCGTTAACTTACTCATTGATTTTAATAAGAATTTAAAGATCTTAGGTTCGAACCTCATCCCAATCAAAGTTGGCATAATTAGTACTCTATTTTACTCTTATTAAATTAATTAAAAATTATAATTTAGTAGCTACAACAAAAAATAATACATATCATTTTTAATTTAGAATTATGTGTCTTAAATGCCTTTATTCAAAAAAAAAATTATTCATTATCAATAAATTAAATAAGAGAAATAATTTCATTAGTTATATTGTATTTATTTTTCTCCAATATAAAAATTCTTTATATTCAAATTATCAATTGATTATATATGCTACATTGTCCCACCAATGTCTTTATTAAAAAAATAATTCATTATTAATAAATTAATTAAGAGAAATAATTTTATTAGTTACATTGTCTTTATATTTCTCCATTGTAAAAATTCTTTACATTCAAATTCATCAATTGATTATATTCACACATTGTCTATTACCTTTTTTTGTGCACTATTTTTTTTAATTAAATATCAAAGTTATAATACAAAATAATGCTATATATTTATTTACCAAGTATTTTATTAATACCATGAAAAAACTAAAAAAAATATAATTAATAAAGCTAATGATATTAATTACTTGAAGGATTTGTTGACAAAGAGACTATTCAAATCACACAACAAATTGAAGTGAGAACAACTTCGCAATATCCTTGTTTGACAATCAGCAGTTAGCGGTTAGCGTTAGCGGATTATATTAGCGAATTTGACCAGCGAATTATATCAATGGTTGGTAAAAAGATATTTGAAAAAATTAGTTGTTTAGATTAACATGTAAAATGACCTAAGGGTATGATGATATAATAATAATAATAATAATAATAATAATAATAATAATAATAATAATAATAATAATAATAATTA